TTCAGATGAAGAATTATCTGTTAAATTTGACTGACCTTATAAGTGCGAATTTTTTCTGAAGCTTAGTAGGTAGAAAGGAGTAGATGAGAGCTCTCTAACCCCAAACTGACAGGATATTCATCATATCTGGATTAGGTCCCCTGTCCACAAAGTACAGAAAATGATATTAATGTTGAATTATATCCAGACTTGATCTTCCAAGCCTGTTTCCTATTTGTGGTAAAGACTATTCCATGTGGCTGATGCCCCTGTGTTTGTCATTTTGTTCCTTTGGCAGGAGCGGTATCACAAATGAGAGACACCTTTTGTTGTTGAAATCTCAGAGTACTTAACCTACTTAACCTCTGTTCTGTCAAATCACCTGTTAAGATTCTTTGTTTCTGCACAGAACAGCCTGCTTTCCTCCTTTAGGTCCACATTTTCTAGCTGGGGAGCATTTCTTCACAAAAAGTCTAGAGCAGAGAGCATGCTTCCTATTTCTATTCTCCCATCTGCTGGTACCAGCAGTTGAAAGACCACCTGCATCAGAGGCTACATCTGAAATGTGGCCTTCAGTAGTACTAAATGAAGCCAATTTAACTACACAATGTGAACAAGCAGGTGGATATCTGCTCCTCCATGGACCTCGATGGGCTGCAGAGGGGCAGCCTGTCTCACAGTGGTCTGCACCATGGGCTGCAGGGGAATCTCTGCTCCAGTGCCTGGAGCACCTCCTCCCGTCCTTCACTGACCTGGGTGTCTGCAGAACTGTTTCTCTCTGTCTCACTCCTCTCCATCTGCAATTGCTCCTGCACAGTAACTTTTTCCCCTTCTTAACTATGTGATCCCAGAGGTGCTACCACTGTTGCTGGTGGGCTTGGCCTCGGTCAGTATTGGGTCTGTCTTGGAGCTGGCTGGCATTGACTCTATCAGACATAGGAAAAGCTTCTACCAGCTTCTCACAGAAGCCACCCTTGTAGAGCCTTTCTCCCAGCTCTCCACACTCTCCCCTCCCCCATCCCAGCCTTGCCAAGAAAACCCAATACAAATGAGTAATTGTTTCTGGTTCACCCATTCTATCTTAAAGGATGGTCATTTGTATCCTCTCTCAGTTCTGTCCTTTCAATCAAAGTGTCCTGATTTAGTCACTATTTCCTTGTCAGGAATTTATTCTAGAGCTCTTAGGCAACCATTTCCTATCTTCCATCATCTTTGACATCCTTTCCTGCACCCTTTCCTGTTATTTTCAAGACGAATTGATACCTGGATCTGAAAAAGCAGCTGAAAAGACTTTTCAAACTGACACTTTAAAAGTTAAGGCATGAGAGAACACCAAGCATTCATGTGCCTGCAGCGTCTTTGCCCTTTGTGTAAAAAGCTCGCAGAAATTTTTACAGCGATATCATGAAGCATGCTCTGAGGATTTCCTCGATGCAAGCCCCTGGGAGGGATATTGCACTGTTACTATTGCAGGTGCATCAGTGAGCAGATACTAACTCTGCAGTTATCAGTCTGGGATATCAGAACGAGTTTTATAGCTATTTACATAGCAATAGATGCAGACAGGCATCTCCCATGGTGCTTAGGGGGAGTCAGACACTTAACACCGTGACTTCAAAAAAAAACATATAGCCATATCTGTAAAGCTCAGTAGGTGCCAGCCACTACACCTTTGAACCTTCAAAATCTAGCCCTTTGTGTGTGTGTTCCTTCCCTGTCTGTGCAACGGGGGTTATAAAACTTCCCCACCTCAGAAGAAGGCCTTTAGACTGGCCTTTTCAGTCTTTAAGCTGGATAAACAATGGAGCATGACATTGCAATACAGGACCAGCTGTTACGTGTGTCTGACTACAGCAGGATTTTCTCAAGGTCTGTTTCCTTTACTGAGATTTGTGAGTAATCACTGACATTTAGTTGCAACTGAGACTGTGAATTTTATGAAGTTTTTCACAATATAAAATAACATTTTCCTTTGTATTTTATGTAAATATATCCACATGTCTTCTGGCAGCTAAGCACCATTTCCCTTATGAAAACATTTTTTAGCATGGAAACATGCTGTTTTAGCATGCTGGTTTTATGCCCCAGAAACATGCACTATTCTTCTCACTAGATGGAGGTCCAGTGCCATGAAAACTGTAGCTTTCTTGATTCTTCCTGTTAGTGGTGAGGTTGAAATGATTGCCACAGAAATCTAAGCAAAGCTTTACAGTATACCTGTATTTTCTGTAGAGGACACAGATAAAGGAATGCATATTTATAAATCTGTTAAAGCCTATAATACCCTCTGGTAATAAAACACTTAGAAAAAGGAATGTAAAAAAATGCCATAAAGTTGTAAAGATTTAGATGCAGATGTTCAGATGCAGATGTTTAGAAACAGTGTTGATTTTATAAAATCCAGTTGTACTGAATGAATTTATTTTGGCATAAGCAGAGCTATTTAATAGATCACATCTGCCTGGCTGATGCTGCATTGATCCTGACAGCAAATTGCTGTAACTAATCTGTTTTAATTAGGCAGAGTAAGGACTGCCATTTATTTTGCTTTTCAGTTTTTTTAGTAATCATCTTTCAGTGCCAGTACATTTAACATTCATCAGTCCTGGTACTAGAACTAAAAGAGGTAAGAGGTTTCTTGAGCAGTACTTTCCAATTGCATGAGTGAGACCTGTTTAAGGCTCCTCCAGTCTTCCAGTGCCTTTGCCTCTCACTTCACAGAAAGTCTGTATCCCCTTTGTCCTCTTTAAACATACTTCTTTAATGTCATGTTATGATTCCCTGAGCACCATTTCTAGGACAGAAAAATATAAAACCAGAATAAAGAATCAAGCAAATAGGGACTTAGTTGAACTTGTTATGTTACTAGTTTGTAAGTTGATGTGCTGTGAGGGTGGTTGGGTCAGTGCTTTAGGTGATGGGAGAAAGAGGTCCAGTTTCTCCATCTCCTCCAGACTTTGTTTATGAGAGATCAGATCATTTCAGCTCAAGCATGCGAAGGATGTTAGGGCCTAAAAAATAATTTAAGCAGCCACATTCAAGGTCTAGATACTGAAGATCAGATGTTTCTTAGCCTTGCAGTGACTGCAAAGTCTTACAAAACTCTTCATGTCTACAACTCTCAGTGTGGGGAGTATCTTCCTGGTGAATGCTGGGTGGAACACACCCACTTCATGTCCAAACCCTAAAAGAATTCACAAATTTTGGGTCTTTTAGTGTTTTGTCTATGCTCTGGCCTATTCTGGACTTGGAGGTTTTTGTTTGGGGCTTACATGCATAATACAACATAGGTGCCTAGTGCCATTGGAGATGCCCTTAGTTATCAAGTCATCAATGTAGAGCAGACAGATATGACACAGTACATTTGGAGATGTGTGTCTTTCTGAAGTGGCATCTGGAAGCAAGATGAGATACCCTGGGGCATGTAAACGTGCGCTGTCTGCCTATGTTTGGGCACCTAAATTGCTCTTCTTTGCACAATAAAGGCAATTAAGAACCTAACGAAGAATCATGTATTCTGCTTAGCAGCCTGCCATGAAAATTTACTGCAACAGCACTAAATGCTTTTTTAGTCATCTCCCTTGGTAGAGGTAAGTTATAGGAGTTACCTTATGTGTAAACCAGGGGCCTCAATACTTCACAGAGACGAAAATAAATAACTTACAGTTTTTGAGGTGCTGAGCTACCAAGGAAATATTGTCATTAAAAATCCTAGGTAGGCAGCTCCACATCGCTATCTAGGATGTTTCAGCCCCACTGAATTGCATGGGGCTTGCAGCAGACTCAGTGCTCACTGAATTTTGCTGAATTTGGGATGGGCAAAAAAGCATTTAATAATAAAAAGAAGCATGGATGCTTCAACTTGTAATCCATTTAGACCTGAATTCCAAAAATTGTACAAAATTGTTATATAATTTTTGCATTGATCCCTTTGCCAAGTCTCTTCCCCCTGTTATTTTTGATGCTGGCTAATTTTAAACAGGTTCAAAAAAGGGTAGAATACTGAAAGATGTTTTCCTACTAGTTTAATGGAAATAAATATCAGGATAAAGGAGAAATTTATGACTCCTCTGAGGAAGGCACAGCTCAGTCATTGTAATCCTCTTTCATAGCAACCTCCTGGCTAATAAGTCATGCACATAACACGTTGGCCAATTCACATGGACCCAGCTCCAGATGACTCATAGTGACTGGTTTCTTCTTCCCAGTGGGTACATTATAAGTGCCTGTGGACAAGCTGGGGTGAGAAGCAGGACAGGAATAGGAGCTACAATATAGGTCCGTGTTTCCAGGCCTCTTCTATTTCTCTGCTCATGTACCATTTTATTTTGTTATAGATTCAGCAATTACTGTCATGTTTCCTCATAAATGTTCTCTCACGGAATATACTGTATTTACTTATAAACAGTGAATATTCTTCCATGATTTAAAATGTAAGCCTACTCTCAAAAACGCATGTCATGCATGAGCTACTCGGCTGTGAAGGCAGGCTGAGAGTTTTTCTACGTAAAAGCACTGTTATTCTTAGTGCTATATGAATTATCTTTGGTCTGATGTATACCACACATATGCTTATAGAAGAGAAAATTTCTGAAGTTTTTCAGAGATACTCAAGGTATATTTTCTTTCATGACCCATCTCTAGTTGCTAAGATTATATTTTTCAAAATTGTCCTGAACCCGTTATGTCTTTTTCCAGATTTATACTTCAGCCAATGAATATCACTTATAAAATTGTCTTTATTAGATAAATTAGTCATACCTTGCCAGTTATTAATTAAAAAAGAAGCAGAATTTATTAAAATTAAAGTCTTTACTGTTACTGACTCTGTTAAAGCTGGAAAAGCAGAAAAATTCAGTGGTCAGGTCTCCCTCATGACTCTTGCAATGCTGTAAGAGATACAGTAAAAATCTATGAAACACTTCATTAAAAAAAAAGTAAGTTATATGTTTTACATTCAAGAATGTTTTCATTATTCTGTCATGCTGCTTCCTACTCTTCTTCAGTTCACTTTAGGCCAGAAAAGTTTAATTTCTCTGTTGGCACAGAAAGAGAGCTAGCCTGTCAGTGAATGTGCACGATGAATCTCCAGGGAAGGGAATGCAATTATGTTGAGTAAGTTTGTTTTTTATTGTTTTACTTTATTTGTAATAAATACAAAAGTTTATGGTGCCAAAGGACCGCAGTACAGTTGAGTAAAGATTGATTACGAACAATAAAAGAAATAGAAAATATCACTGGGATATATACTGAGCCTCTGTTTTTTTCCTAGTTGCTATAGTAATGTTTGGCACCTTGCTTAGTTATTCCAGCAAGCTCTCTCATGCTACTTCCCTGGGAGATGTGTCAGTTCAGGAAGACTGAGAACAATGAGTCTGCCTCGGATCGGGAGATAGACCTCATTAGTTTTGAGAATTAGACACAATACCTAGCACAGACACGGGTAATCAGCATACAAGCATGGAGAGGAATCCTAGGATGCTTTTAACGAGGCCACCCATCCTGGATATTAGATTGCTCTTCTGCACTCCAAAGACAGCTGGTTGTAAGGCTGGTGGGTAACCCTATTGAAACTGTCATCCTAATAATAGGTGCTCATGTTTAAGCCTAGACTAAACCAGCTCAAAGGCTTCTACAACTCAGGGGGAGTTGCACTGGTATTCAGAGGACCACAGAAAAAGGTAAGTAACAAAAGGCTGGGTTTTGATACTAAATCAAGTCTTTGAAACATTTTTGCTCTGATAAGTGCAAGTTCTAGAGGACTTAAACAGGAGCAGCTGTTTGCAGGTGCTGGTCCTTTCCTCTTGTTTTTTCACTGTCAACTAAATTGTCAGTGTTTCTGCTGTTCTGGGAAGAATGAGAAAAAAGTGTCATGCAGCACTGCCACTATTCTCAGTTTTCCTGCTTAACTTGTGGACTAGATATTTTTTCTTAATAACCGAGCCTTTGGCCAACTCAGTGAGGATATCAGGTATTTTACAACAGATAAGGCATCTGCCAGTTTCTCTGTGCTGTAGAGAAGCATCCCCCCACCCCCCCCCCCCAGCTTGAATTAAACTGCTGTAGACTTTGAAAGCTGAATATTAACAAAAGCTAAGGTAGTAAAAAAAAATATCTTTTAGGTCTTGTTGTTGTTTTCTTGCTGTAGTTTTTCATCTGATGACTGAGGTCTTACAGTTTTGGACTCTGCCATTGGCCATACCCTGTGAATTCATATTTTTTGAAGTTCCTTGGCAAGTTGACAGGAAGATCAGTGAGGGAAAAGGGATTTTGGAGCTTCTGCTGTCAGAGGTGGCCACAGTTCACTCCTTCCTTAAATATCTTTCACTCCCTCTTAATATTTTTTGTGTGTGTACACAGACCTGCCTGGAGTCCTAGTGCATCTCTTGAGAGTGCTGTATTTATAATAATTGCATTATAACTCTACATTAATTAACACCATGGATGTGAAAAGTTGAGAATCTGTGAATTTACAAATGACAGTTTCCAAATAGATCATTTTTGTTCTTGAGAAGCATGTGCTCAGTCAGTAGGAAAGTTACAGTTTGGTAAAAAAGATTGCTTTGGATTTCTCCATGAAGGGCCTAACCAAAGGTGTAGGGAGCAGTTGAACTGAAACCAGAGATTTTAGGTCGAGCTCACATTGCTTTCCGAGTGTCATTAATGATAATTTTGTGATCTGGGAACTGTTTTTAAGAATCTAAGTTCCAAGAATCTATTATAAACTTTGTCAGGAACCATGACAACCCCCAAGGTTTCCGGAATGCAAAGCTGACTTTAACTTGGACCCGTCCACTCGGATCTCTTTATTTTGGATCTGGTTTATGTTGTGCTGACTTTTTTCTCATGCACATTTGCTCATTAGGGGTAGTCGGTCAACGGATTAACACAAGAGCTTATGAAGTCTAATGTAAATGACAACTTTTTCTTGCAATGATTTCAGGTGGATGTGCTCCATGATATAGCTGCCCCATGACCAAAAGGGTATTAGTATTGGTAAAAAGAAAAAATGACAAGAAGGTGAGGTCGGGCTATCTGGTGGTGCAGCACAGACTGTGAAGTCTAGTTACATAGAACACTGCAAAGAAAATGATCAATGAAGACTAATAGGAATTAAACTGAGTAAGAGGTCACATGGAAGAAGCTTTTTTCACTTGGTGAGGGTGATAAAGACATTGCATGGGAAATCAGTTGTATAACAAGTTGTAAAATGAAGGTTATCTTACTAGCTGTGTAAGGGAGGAGAAGGAGTTAGAGAAATGTTTCATAAGATAAAGCACTGAGGAGTGGACTATAGTCCTGACTGCTCCAGGTCAGCATTTCTTAACCTGGGAGTTGCTAGAAACAGCCATTGAGGGACAAAACACCTCCTGTCATCCTAAACAGCACTTACAAATTGAGGTGGAAAAGGTTTCTTGACAGACTGAAAGGAAGTAGTATCTCAGAAGTTGATCAAGTCCCAGTGAGTGCTTCAAAGTACTGAAGATGCTGAGATGTCCTATCTGAACAACTTTATTTTGTATGCTATTTGTTTAGGCTCCCTCTTGCAAAATGAGTACCCATTTGTTTTGATAAGGACATACTCCTGCAGAAGGAGATGGTAAAGCAATTCAACCAAAGTGTTTTGCTGAGGTGGAATGGGCTTACAGTTCTAGAAAACCAGGGGAACTACAACCGATTTAGGGGGCCTCATCTGAAAATTTTAGGTTGAAATCCTTGCCAAAGTAAACTTGTACTGGACTGGAAGATGAAGAATTGTGTTTTTACATATATTAGATGTTCAATAATTTCACAAATACCAAATCAATTATGCTATGTAGGTGTCCAAATTAACGGGGTGCTCAGGGCTCCTGTCAAGATCCTCTAATATTCTTTCTGCTTCATATGGACTGAGAGCAGTTTCAGAGGGTAAACAACACAGGGTGAACAAGGGCACAGATAAATATCCAATATCTAAAACTCAGATGCATATGCAGGATTTTCAGATCATTATAAATATAGAAATTTTACAGTATTTGCTACCTTCACCTCTTCCCTCTGCTCCTCATGCTTTTTGTGTTTGTACCTGAATAAGTACTCGTGTGTAAAGGTGGCACTGTTTATAGTCTTGGACTTCTTTTTATCTTTAATCTGGTTGTAATAGAAAGCTTTTCCTTTCAGCATTTGCTTTCTGAAGTTACACAAGTTGAACAGATGTTGTGGTTTTAATTTATTTGAAAACAATTGCCAATTACCTGCACATCTGCAGTCCATCCTGCCAATTACCAGAGCCTGCTCTTGTGCTGGCAATCAATGAAGTGCAATGTAGCCCAAGGCAGAACGCTTGCCTGTGGAGAAACCTAGCTTACTTTCGAGAAAGTGTGCACTAAATGCTAAGACTGTACCTAAGATGCACTTGGAATGCTGCTCAGAAAATATTTCTGTTAATAGTTTACTGATTTCATTAATGAAGATTTTCTGGTTAACTGCCTTCTTTGTGCTGGTGTTATGAGGGAGAGAGTCAGATCACCTGGCTGATCTGGATGGAAATCATATTCATTATTTGGTTTTTTACCTCCAAATGGTGTAAAAAAGGTCTTACTCTGTGCAGCTCTGTTAACTGTAGCTAGATCTCATAATCTGAAGGGGAGGGAAAAAGAAGAATTTGGTATGCATTCAAGAAGGGGAAGACCTGCTACAGAAGAGCACTGTGGTTAGAGTTCTAAAAAGGCATGTCAAGTCTCGACTAAGCAACAGCAGTGTGTCCTGTGTTTCAGGAAAAGGCCTAACATGGTACAAGTCAAGTCCCGCTGCCTGCACCCAAGCTGAATGATCAGTGCGTGCTATCTGACTTGAGTATGTGGATTCCCTTCTGGTGGAGGTGAAAGTACAAGAAGAAATGGTAAGGGTAAGACGGGAAGAGCAATGACGCATATGCCTGGATGTTGCTCTGACATGGGGCTGGGTACAGACATGCTTAAGGTTCTTACCCAAACTGAGAAGCTTAGGGTGCTGCTTGAATCTGCTTATTTAAGTAGAACTGCTCAGGTCCACTGGGTGTTTTGGTGACTGGAGTAAACGAACATCTCAACAGAAATGATTGCAAAAGAGGAGGGAGGGAAGTGGGGGAGGGATATCATCTGCCTAAATTTGGTGCCCAGCTTGTGTCTTCATTTCAGATGCTTAGTGGTACATGGGCACATGCATAAGATCCCCAAATTATTGGCAAAGAAGAGCTCTTAGAATTTCTCCAGAGGTCAGATGGGGACCTACAAATAATACTGGTGATTGCAGTCTTAGATTACCAACAAGAACTTGCTGTAAATTGCTGTAAATTACTGTAAATTTTAGACCTGTCCTAATGTATGTGTTTTCCCAAGAACAAAAATAAAGCTGAAGTGTAGGCAGGTAGGACTCCACAATCAGACACAGTTACTAAGCATCCAAAGATTCACAGCAGTGAACTCTAAAGCCAATGCTCCTTTTACAAACTATCTTCCAAAATTTGACTTCTGCTTGTTGCACAGCCTGTTCAGAAAAGAAACCCAGTTTGGTGACTGAATGCTTCACATGGGTTGAAATCAGCTAGCTCTGAAGTTTGTTAACACCAGTTTGGAAGCTGGGTTGTATATGCCTTGGGAGAGTATTATAAGAAGCTACAGGAGAAATTAGAGATTGTCAGCTATGTAAAGTTTTAGGAAGCTTAAGAACAGCTGGGAGGAATTAAGCTGATACTGGAGGAAGATGTAGGAGAAGGGACAGGGAACTATTGTAGGTAATCAGATCTGTCAAGGCTTTAGGTTGAGCATATTTAGTTGAAAATATTTAGTGTAGTCTGCAGCATTTGGTATAAGTGAACTGGATTATTCTTCCTGTCGTCTGAACTTTTCAGGAACCCCATATAATCTGGTAGGGCTTGTATTTGTCCAGTAGAGCTGAACAAGGTACAGAATAGGCTGGTTGACTGAAGTGAGATTTTATGTTCTATTTAGGCCTTTCCCTACAAGGATGGTGACAGCAAAAGCCTCGTTTTGTTGCCCAAACTAATACTGTTTGGGTAGGGTGGACATGTACAGGAATTATATTATCCCACTCCAGAATTAGAATCCAGTCAAGAAACTGGGAAAACACTTACTGTCAGGAACAAATGTTCTTGTATACTAGAGAACATGAATAATTATTTTTCATTTTAGCTCAAATGTATTTGAATACATTTTTATTGTATTTTATAACATCCTTAGAAGTTTTATACTAGAACCCCTGTACTCTAGGAGAAATCTCATTGTGGGTTGAAAGGTTCAACTCTGAATAAGTGGCTTGAAATTGGTTTTGATTAATTTTAAAGTGAACTGAACATCAATTGTTTCTGTAAGTCTTGCCTGAATCCTGATTATCCTTATCTTATAAGTTTTCTTTTTGAGTATATTAAACTTTCTTTTTTTTTAATTTTCAGAAAATAGTCACCATTTTTCAATATTTTTTATTTTCCTTTTGGTACCATTGCCTTCTTTTTTGTTTTATTTTGTTTTGTTTCCCTGCATGTCAGAAAAGCTTCAATTATATCAGGCTTTGAGGGGGAAAAAGATGGATCTCGGACTTTACGATAAATATACTACTTACTGCATTGCATCAGTTTTTTTCTTCACTTAATCTTTTTCCTTTTCTTCTTGCTGAGAATGCCAGATCTCTAGATGCCAAACTGTGAGTTGGTCTTATTCGCTTTAGAAAAGGCCTTTTCCACTGCGTTAGCAATAAACTGGCAGATTTCAGTTAGAGCATGTTCCATTGCCTGCTTTAGAGCTTTTCTGCTTTTCTTCCCAGACATCTGGGCTATTGGCTTAGTGAGAGAGACACTGGACTTACTGTCCTAGTAATCACAGGATTAACCACAGAACACTTTAAAAATTATTTTGCTGATGATGTAGCCCAGCTTTTCCTTCAGTGAATACTCATGGCCACTGAGAATCCATTCTTCTCATCCGCTTTTCCAACATACTGCTTTGTTTTGGCAAAGTTTATGTAATTCTTAGTGTTCCGCTGTCCACAAGGCCTGCAGTTTTACATGGGATACCGCGATGGGTCAAAGCTGTGAATTAAGCAGTATGATCCAGTGAGACAATGGGAATTTTCTTTTGCTTTAGTAAATACATGGGTTTGTTTACTCAATACCATATAAACTGCATCCAAGCAAAACTTAATTAGATGCTCTGCCAGGAAAATACTATGAAAGGAGAGGAATGGATAACAGCTGGTTCTGTCAGCTGTTGCAGTTTTCAGACATACAAAGGTAAGAGAAGTGTGACTGCTTTATTTCCACCAAAAGAGTAAACAGGTGAACAAGCATGACTTCTTCACTTAGGTTATCTTATCTAACATGACAGGAAAGAAGACAATCTTATTTGATGGTAAGTCATGTTGAAGCTCCTGTGCTGGGTCTAAATCCTTTGCAATTTCATCATATCAACAGATTTGTGACCACAGATTTTTTCCTATGTCAAGGATATTAAATAAAAAAAAAAAACAAAACAAAATTTCAACACAAATATATTTACTAAATAGGTTTCTATTGATTTTTTTAATTATCATTATTAGTTTTGTTGTTGTTCTTCATGCGGTCCTAAAATGCATTTTATTCTGGGGTGCCCAAGTCTTGAATTTTCTATTTTACATATTTTTACTACACTTAGATCTTGATGACTTTGTTTGAAAGAGCTGTTTATGTAGCAAACCTCCCCTTCCTCTCCTCCCCTAACATTCACAATGGCAGCTGCTACTTTGACTTGCTTTTTCCATAGGTACACGTTGTTGCTGCCATTCCCTGCATGGAAAGCTGTCATTTGGTTCCCAGTATGTGGTAGCTGATGAGGTTTGTGATGTTGTGCAGCTTGGAATAAGTTGGAGTATCATCAGCTGAGTACCAGCTGTGCTTTGTTACAAAGGCAATTTGTCACCTGTAAAATACTGCAACTTACCATCCCATTGCAATTTACTATTATCTTGCACAGGAATGCTCTTTATTTGTCACCTAAAAGAAGACTTTGTATGCTGAGCTTGCTTCAGCCAGTTCTTCTAGCACTGGATGGAAGAATAGAAAGGAAATGCTAAACTGTTTTCTCCTTTATATATTCTTTTAAATTACTCCAGAATTAGCACTAATTTCAAGACACCAGTAAGTGCTGTTCATCAATGAGAAGGCAAGTGGTTAAAACTGTACCAGCTCTGGTGCAGTAGTGTAAACACAGTATTGACATATTGGGCTGTTGTAGATCAGCCTCTGAGGCTGGCATAGCTGCAAATCAAACTTCTTATATTGACAAACTGGTTATCACTGAGATTACCCTGAGGATGACATCTGAGAACATCCAATGCAAACATGCTATGGTGGTCAAAAATGGATTTACTTTTTAGCTTGGCCTATTCAGTCAATCCTATTGTACTTCAATCCTGGTTTGGCTGTCACAAGCAGCCTCTCATCTGAAGTTTAATCCTTTGCTAATTAATTGTTTTCTCCCGTGTGCTTGTGCAGCTGACTCACCCTACAGTGAGGTTTTATGTGGTTCTGCAATGTGACAAATATGTTAATGCATGCAGAGCAATGCTTCCAGTCCTGACAGATATTTGCTGTGTCCATAATGTCAATAATGACAAACTTCTTGCATGCTATAAAGTACTCTGATAAGACTATATGCTACAGCTCACTGAACTTAAAGTTCATTCTGCCTAATGATCAAAACCCAAAGAACAGCTCTTTCTGCCGTTCTGTAGCAGTAATTTAATAAGGTAAAATGCCATTAAATTCAATGAGGTGTGATTAACAAATACACAGAAGCGATAAGTCCATAAAAATGTGATCTTGCACTTCGTTGTTATGTCTCAGGAGTATTTGGGTACTTTGGAGAAAATGATTAGGGAGGTGGAAACTGAACTTTTTCCAGCTTTCCTGCAAAAAAATCTCTAGCTGACATCCCATTAAAGGGCCAAGCACTACATTCACATATAGCAGCTGCATAACAGTTGCTGAGATTTTTTATTTATGACCATATGCATTTTTAATGCCAAGCACAATTTATATCCTTGGATTTTGCATATTTAAGAGAAAATGATGTTTACAAAGATTATAAAATAAAACTCAATCAAATTGTGTTTCTATGTTGGTAGAATAGCTCTTGAGGAGACAGAATGTTCCCAGAAGATGCTAAAACAAACATGCAAACAGAACTCTAAATTAGGACCAAGGCAAGAGTTCAAGTGCTTTATTTTCTTTCTGAGACAGGCATCTTAACTGTTTGCTTCAAACATACAAATCAAATAAATCCAGCAAGTTACATTGCCTTGCTGAATCACTGTCTGAAATATTATTTTAACTATGTTGGAATACAAGCTTGAGGTCCATTCAGGGTAATTCACTGTGCAGACACAAGACAAGGCTAACCCTTATATATCAGTAGAAATAAAAAAGTTTAAACATGGAAGAAAGAAATGTCTGTGTTAATGGGCATCAAATGTCATAACTTCAGCTTTATCAATGGTGTTAATGGAAATTTTTATTGTCAATGGGTGCAAGTATGGTTTTAGATGATTGTGTCTGAGTTAGCTTTGCAGGAGCAGTTCTTGAAAACCCAGTACCTCTACGCTGCACATGTGTATATATGTATGCATACAAGTATTTTGTAGACAAGAGACTGTAGATTAAATTCAGCACAGAATCAGTTTGCATGGTCAGGATTAGAGGTTAGAGGCAATTTAACCCTGTGAGTTTAAATGTATGTCTGAACTGAGTGGCACCTGACAAGCCTCACAAACATGCATAGCAGAAAAACATTAAAACAAAATAAAATATGGGAAAGTATTGCGTCAGCCTGTGAGGTCTAATGCCATTTATAAAAGAGGGTCATAAGACAGCTGCTAGCATGTTCACTCTTGCTGCATATGACCAAAAGCGTACGTACGATGATGAATCTGGGTCAGAGTCAGGCTGTCTGGCAGAAAACTGTGTGCAGCTGGGCTGACCACAGAGAAGCCATTTTCCAAAACCTGGGCTTCGCGCACAGCTTGTTGAGGGTCATGTGCTCCTGCCTTTCTCAATGGGTTCTCATGAGAGTCAGCCCCAAACTGACCTAATTAAATGTCTATGGTAGGAGGCTGCTGCCTCTGAGATGTGTCTGGAATGAGCTACTGGAGGAAATGATTAATCCTGTCTGTGAGCAGAATGTTGTTTGACATCCACTGGTTTCCTGCAGTAATGTGAGTTTGGACAACAGCAGAGGCCATAACAGGAAAGTTCTGGAGAACACTGCTGTCTGAGTGGAAGGTGGCTACAATCAGTGTTGGTGCTTCTTCCGGCAAAACTACTCATGCTCCCAAATTGTGGCATGATCTCTTAGAACAAATCTCTCTACCCTGTTGGCTGTGATTTCAGTTTACCCACAGGCAGAAAGATGGACATTCAAACGGAGGGGTAATAATTGTTCAACCCTAAAACCTCATCTGTCAATGCTCTCAAACAGAACTTTTGCATGAAAAACATTTGTTGTAGTCTGAGACAAATTAAAAGCAAACTAAACATTTTCTCTCTCTTTTGAAATGAAAATAAACGTTACCAGGATATGACAATTAGTTAATCCTGGTTGACGTTTGGATGAATATTCTTTACAGAAAATAAACCTAGTTCTTGCACTATGTTTTTAGGAACATATACAGTACCTCTTGTTTATTTTTAAGTAAAGATTTACTAACAAGTTCTGAAACTTCTCAAGGGTTAGATTAATGGTGCACTTGCCACCATCAGTGCTGTGATGGCATGTTTGGCTTGGTCTGGCTGACCTAAAGAGGTAAATTAATTCTTCCCTTCCCTTTCACCTATTATTCTGGTAAATCCTAAATCAGCAAATAGGGGAGAAGAGAAGAGCTTAACCAGACATCTAATGTAACAGATTTTTTTTCTGAGTGTCAGTAGCTGTTAAGGTTATATGAACTCTGGAAGAGCAATCCAAGATCTGACCACTTTGATGCTCTTTGCAGTTGTGAGCATGTAAAGTCCTTTGTACTTGAACTGTTTTTATGTGGCTATTGTCACTTTTGAGAAGAGAAAGAAAAAGCAAACTTGACTGATAGGAGAAGAAGGATAAAAAGAGCTACCATTTCATTGGTCTTGAAGTAGCTGCTGATGCAGGTATTCAGTACCACCCCCTGGATCAACTGCCTGCCCTCTCCTCAGAGGAAAAATGCTCCAACCCTTTGGCATGCTGGCCCTCTGCCTGATGAACTTGGTCCAGGTTAGCAAGGTCTCTCTTGTACTGGGAAGCCCAAAATTGGACATAAGACTGAATGCAATATCACCAGTGCTGAAGAGAGGGCAAACATCACATACCTTGACTTGCTAGCAATAGTCTTTCTAATGCAGATAAAGATGTGCTTGGCTTCCTTCCCTGCAAGGGTGTATTGCTGGCTCATGTTCAGCTTATTGTCCACCAGGACTCCTAGGTTTTTTTCTACAAAGCCACGGCCTGGACTCAAACTTATACTGGTGTATGGGGTTGTTCTGGCTTATTCTGTACTTCCCACTGTGAATTTAATGAGGTTCCTCTTGGCCCATTTTTCCAGCCCTTTCCTAATGACAGCTCAGCTTTCTGGCATATGAACTACTCCCTACAATTTGTTATGCTCCACAGCTTGCTGGGGGTACATTTTCTCTTGTTACCCGGGTTGCTAACAAGGTTAAGCAATACTAGTTCTAGTAAGTGTTTCAAAATGTGCCTCTACGGTTAAGAGAACTGTATTTTTGTGTTTTCTCTTATTCCTACTGTGCTTGCTCAGGCTTCTATGAAAATGAGATTTCTGTTTCACTGCAGAGTAAAGAATGGCAGCTATGTGCCCATTTGCCCCCTTCTCCCAGCTGTCCATGACTCTATAAATAGGTTGATCAATTTATTTAGCTGCTATTCTGTACCTTTAAAATGTGGTTAATGTTTCCAAAGCACTGTGAACTGATGTACTGAAAACCTGCCAAATATCATTAAATAGAGATTTGTGCTTCCGGAATTTAAAAATAAAAGCCTAATGTCTCAGATATGAAAGGAAAATCCCAGTGTGTTTATGAGCATAATTCCAATTCTAAATGTATCATTGTCAGAAAAGCCTCCATCTTTTCTCTTAGGATGGTCCTAAAAAAGCATCTCTCTCCCATCCCAGATGTCGAACCGATTCATGAGCTCTGGATGATCTTCAAAACCAAACCCAGGCCTCTGGCCAGTACTGACACACCTAACGCACAAGTTCCCTTGACCTTGAAGAGTC